ATGCTGCTGAAAGCCCACCACAGTGGTCCCTGGCCGGCCAGGACTGTCCCTCAAGGTGGCCAAAGAGGCAGAGTTCCACCATCTGCTCTGGATGCTGCTTGGGAGACCCCAGGGCAGGGGCAGTGGGGTCTGCAGGCTCAGGAAGACCCCTCCAGTGGCTGCTGGAGCAGGAGACCTGCTCAGAGCTAGTCCAACCACCAGCGGCTGAGACCTGCCTGGCCTTAGCTCTCCTGCTGGAACAGTGGACAGCGTGGACAGGCAAAGCCCCAGGGTGGTGAGGACAGGCACAGGGTCCACACTCCGGGTGGCTCAGGAAGACGGCCCTGGCCGGAGACAGTGAGCGCGGAACTCTGGCCACAGCAGCATCTCAGTGGTGAATATTCATTTCACTCACTTGACAAATACCTAGAATGTCCACGATGGGTTCTCAGATCCACTGGGCGAGGTGGAGACCCACGGCCACAGGATGCAGGGGCCCGGAGGGAGACTGGGCAGCCTGGCTGGTGTGTGCTACCCTCCCCCTGAGCTGGGGAGGCGTGTGGCTGCAGGAGACACTGTGTGCAGGGCTGTGAGTGTTCAGGGACACCACCTGGGACTGGGTCTTCCCCACCCTTCTCAGCCACAAATGCCCGCTGCCCCCGACATCAAGCCTACTCCAGGAGGAGGACAAAGTGAGGAGGGGGGCAGGGCCCACTGAGCCTCCTCCTTTCTATCAGGAGGAAGAGCCCAGCTTTCCCAGAGCCTGACCCCGTGGGCCAACGAGACCAGATACCACTGACCAGAGGAGGCACACGGCCCCTCCTAAGGCGACTAGAGGCTCAGCCTGTGTGGGCACAGGGTCAGCCACACGGGTCAGCACAGGAGAGGCAGAGAGTGGACCTGGAGGGCAGCTCATAGGGTCTAGGAGGCCAGGCAGTGGAGCGTGGTGAGCCCCTCATCTAAACCCTCCCAGCAGTCCTCTCTGCCGTGAGTGCAGGACACAGAAACAGGACGATGGGTCACTTCCTCTGACAGGACTGCACCTGCGCTGAGCTCCTGTCCCTCCAGGCACCTGGCCTTCCACTGTCAGCGAGGCGGGTCAAGCTGGTCGGCAGGGGCGGGGCCACACCGTGGCAAAGAGGCGAAGACTATGATCTGGATGATCTGCCTGGCTCCRGCCCCTCTGTCCTCGCTGGGACAGACCTCAGACGCGGGCCCAGGCCCTGCCTCGACCTCTCCCCAGCACATGCACGMGAGTCACTCCTTCAGCCGCTGCGGTCTGAGGTCAGGCCTGCTGCTGAAGCCAGGGAGGCTGTCACCTGGCACCCTCTCGTCCCTTCTTCCTTCCTAAAGCAAAATGCAATCGTGTCAAGCACTTTGCTCATTAATAAGGTGATGAGTTATCATGGATCTAAGTGAAACATGACCGCGACTCTCTGTCCTCCCAGGCTCCCTGCCTCATTCAGCTAGTGACATGTGACCTAGTTCCAGCCAATGAGAACCTCTGCAGGGAGGCTGAAAGCTTTTGCCTTCTTCATACAGATAAGAAATGCAGCGCTACCATTCCCTTCTTCATCTGCTCTGCCCTCAGATACAAATGTGGAGCCACAGCAGCTAGTTTGTAATGACGAGGCAATAAAAYGAGAAGCCAAATGTGGTAGAATGGTAAGAATGGAGAATATTAGGGTTGTAATGACATTACTGATCTACTGTTCCCACCCTTGACCATGTCTCTGCACTTACTGTAAAGTGAGAAAAGTTAATCCCTATTTATTAAGATTCTGCTAATTGGGTTTTATCCTATTGGATAAAAATATCCTGAAATGTTATAAATGGTAAACAAGAAATGATGGGGCTCCTGCCTTTGTGACCCCTACAGTTTAAGAGAGACGAMCGTGTGGATAATGTACATTCTCGGAGGAGGAAGCAGAGCGTGGTGTAAGGGACCCAGGAGGGTCCTAAGCAGATGGGGACTAAATACGTCATTAAAGCAGGACTCGTTCTCCTCGCCACCTGAACCCACAGTGTACCCACCGCCCTCAGGTAATGCACAGCCCTCTGCCCCTCAGTAGCGTGCCCCTCTCACCTGTCACTGTCCCTCCAGCATCAAGGGGGAATGACCCTCGAGGTCTCTGCTGCCCCCACAGGCCCCGCTGTGAAGCTGCTGTGCTGTCCAGAGCTCTGCAGGGCACCCGGGAGGGCCGCAGCTCAGGCCAGGCTGACCATTAATTATTAACACAGAGAAAAAGACACCAGCTGAGCAGTTGCTCGGCCTGAAGTGCGGCATCGCCCAGGAGGACAGCTTACCCGCCCAGCTCAGGTGTTACCACCCATTCCAGCCAGTGACCACAGTGACCACGGCCAAAGTGAACTACCCAAAACATGACCACGGGCAGGGTAGGCGCTACCACATGCCCGTGCGCTTCAGTAAAAGCAGGCAGGGAACACGGCTGTGGGGACCGAGAACGCTGCAGACCAGCCGAGTGGCACCCGGCTTTCCACCCTGAGCAGCTCTGCTTCTCCAAAGGTTCTCAATACATAGTATTTGTTACCCTATTGGGGGAAACTATTTTAAGCCTAATTAGCATGAAATTTTTAGAATGCAAATGCTTTTCATTTAGACATAAAACAAAATGCCACGACATTTCTTCCATCCATTTATCATAAACAAGTTAATTACTGTGTAACAAATCGCTCTTGCCGGAAAGTGTGTGTTTGGGGCTGCTGGGGAGCTGACTCAGGCAGAGAGAGGGAGCCACGGAGTGGTCGTTAGCAGCTTATGGCGAACTTACCATAAAGCGGGCTCTACGAAGCTTTGCTTGTCAAATTAAGGTTAAGTTCTCTCTGTTGGAATAGCTCACTTATAAGCAGCCGTTATCTATTTACTGCGACTCCTACCAGAACCACAGGAACACTGCCTCTCATTTATTTTTGACACATCCATCTCTGCTGTGTTCTTGCAGTTGCAAAGTTTTGCACACACACAGGAAGGTTTACGTGTCCTGGCTTGCGTGTATTGCAGTTTTAGCTTCTGTCTCCATATGTGTGAAATTACTTCTAAGTCTTCCTTAAAAACAACTCTCTGCTCCTGAGATGTGACACCTTAAGAAAAGCAAAGGGAAGAAACAGGAAAGGGTGGTGCCCCAGGCACAGGAGGAGCTGAGCTGGGTGGAGAAGGCCCCAGCTGGTGACCCTCAGCCCTGTTCCCTGAACCCGGCCTGGGCCAGGCTGCTTCTCAGGGATAAGAAGGGCTTAGAAAATGAGCTGCCTATCCACAAGGACCACAAGCCGGTCTGCCTTCACCCAGAACTAGGTGAACACCATGGGCACCCAGGTGCCAGGCAACATCTGTCCAGGCATCCAGCTTCCCCACCACACCCACCGAGAGCAAAGCAGAGTGGGGCCAGGATGCCCACCCGCCCACGGGGACCGCCTCCTGGCAAGCACGAGGGCCTGCCACACTCTTGCGTCACAGCAGGCCTGCCGTACCAGCCCCGAGGACGACGGATACTCCAAGGTCTTGTCATGCTTATCCCTGTGCTGCCAGAGGCCCAAGGTGACAGTCTTGACTCAGCAGAGGTGTCTAGGAGGCACCCACAGCAGGACAGAGAACGCCACCTGTCCTGTGTGGCAGGCACACAACGTGCCAGGGCACCCCTGGCCCCTTCTGCCAGCCCACAGGGATCTCAGTCAACCCAAGGACCCCGAGAGATGCCCGTGCCGCAGACTCCAAAACGAGACACAGGCACCACTGAGGGAGCATCTCTTGAAAACACCTTCCCCGCACACTTCTGAGACAGCAAGTCCCCTCTGCTCCTGGGGGCAGGCTGCCTGCACTGTGTTTCATAGTCAATGAGAGTTAATGGTATCACAAATGGAAAATCAAAAAAGTAAGTAGGAAGAGTTATGCTTGAGGGGACGGAGCGGTGGCTCAGTGGTAGAGCGCCTGCCTGGCATGTGTAAATGTGGGAGGCACTGGGTTCGATTCTCAGCACCACATATAAATAAATAAATAAATGATAGAGGTTCGTAGTTACAGTTGGTGCAAATACAAGCCTGACTGACACAACCAGGCACAAATAAGGAAGTCAACAGGCTGGGTCTGGAAGGGTGTGGGTAGAAATATCGCCCCACTGTGTGTGTGAGTACACACACAGGCATTGCCACCCTCTCTCCGACAAAATGGGGAGCGGTCAACAGCTGAGGAGTGTTTTAGTGTGAATGTTGAAATTCAGCTTGACACTTGATCAAGTCTGCCCCCACCCGCCCGCAAAAAAAAAAAAACTCTGAGGTCAGCTCAAAGGCTGCCACTTCTGAGACACTGAGACCAAGAGGGGCACTCTCTGGCCGAGGTGCTCCTAGCTTAACTCTGAAACCTCAGGGGAGCAAGAACTGATTTATTTCCCCTCCTATGCAAATATAAAGTTTAATTAGTTTGTCTTAAAAAAGAAACAGATCGATGTACAGCATGATCCATTGTCGCGTGGGTTCTCGAGCTGCCTCCCGTGCGCCCGTCACAAATGTGGACATGATCCTGCAATTACGACAAAGCTAATTGGTAGTTCCCTCCTGCGTGTGTGTTTCCGTGTTGTCAGTGGGGCGGTAATGAAAACGAATGCCACATTTGTGAACAGAACGTCTGTGGGCTTATTTACCGCATTTCCAACAACATCGTCTGCTTTATCATGCATTTCAGAGCAGGGATAATTTAAGAATCCAGAATTTCATACATAAAAATACTTGGTAAGAAAGTCTCTCTCTGCACATTATTTGGGTGACGTTACATCCAAATTCCAATTTGTTGCCCAGGAAATGATTCACCTCACTCAAAAATGACAGGGATTCTGAATCATTCACCTTGATGCAAAATGCCTTTGACCAGTTCACACCTCATGGACTGGGCAACCACACCTGCAGCAGCCGGGCACCAAGACCAGCCAGGCCTGGCCTCTTCTGCCTAAGTGACCTCCCCAGCACACAGCTCGAAGGCAACCGGCTTCCACCCTCCGCGCCCTCCCTACCTTTGAGCAGCCTCTCTCCTTGCAGAATATCTGGGGAGATTAATGCCGTGTAACCTTCTTCTGAGAATCCAGCCTTGCAGGTCTCCCTGGCTGTAAGATCCTCRTGGGCCTGAGAAGACAGAGGAGACACATTGAACAGAATTAAGTTCAAGAATGCAGCCTAACCAACATTTAATGGTGGTGGTGGTGATGGTGGTGGTGGTGGTGGGGGGGTGGATGCGTAAAACGCGGGTCTTTGGCTGAGAAATACTGAGAAGCCACAGTCTCCACCCAGAGGTGATTCCTGATTCTCTACTATCTGGGGACTTAAGGATCCTGGATTGGAAGAATCATCCCTAGCTCAGGCGGGAGCAAAGGGCCTACTGACAGTTAGCTGGGGACCTGCCAGGCCTCATGGGCTCAGGGCAAGAGGAAGACAGCAGAGAAATGTCCACAGGCAGCTGACAGGGTCAGCCTGTGAGGCACAGGGGGCCAGGCCAGGGTGAGGCCTTCAGGCTCCAGTGCTCTGGCTTTAGGTAGGAGGCGACACCTAAGTCTCCCCTCTGCCTGCCACAGGGGATGTGGGAGAAGGGGAAAGGAGCAAGAAAGGGATTTCCCATGAGTGGATTATATGGGRCCAGGAGCAGCCCTGCTGGAGCCGGGGCAGAGGAGGTGTGTAAGTAGGGCAGGGAGGGGCTGCTTCCATCCTCCGGCCCTCCCCTTCTCATCCACCGCCCCTTGTTCACACACCCCCCATCTCCAGCCCAACCAGGTGGACTCCCCTAAATGACTAGGAAGGGCGTGTGTCCTGTCCTGGGCGGCTAACTCCTCTAGAAGTCTAGAGCCCAAGGCAGTAAGACAGCAGGGCAGGGCAGGGCAGGATGGCCACAGGGCCCCTCTCAGCTGCAGCGGGTAAAGCAGAGGCCATGTGTGCAACTGCATGAAGCCAGCCCTGCTCCTGGGCGAGATCAGGAAGCCCAAGGCGGAGGCTGCACCCCGCAGTTGTGCTTCGCGCAGAGCCTGTGGAGCAAAACCGCCTCCCTGCTGGCTGCCTCCTCCAGCCCCGCGCGTCACCGCTGCTGCTGGGGCTTGGGCTCCAGAGGCTTCCCCTGGCCCGAGCTGTGCTCCCGACACTGGCCCCAGATGCGGACACCCTTCCACCCAAAAGCACCSAGAGGAGTGAAGGTGGGGAGCCTGGTCTTTTCTTGGAAAAAGCTCCAAACCACGGCTCCATTCCTGGGGAAGGAAGCTCCGAATAACACACGCAACCCCGGTGGGGGTGGGGGTGGGGAAACTCGTCCYGGAAAGTTTCAATCCCCCGGGGGCGTGTGCCCAGGGCACCCCGGAACACCCCGCGGTCTCCGATCGGGCCTCCGGTCGCCACGATGGTTTGTTTCCGAGGTGAAGACAGCAAGCCCGGGAGGAGGCAGCGAGGCCGATCGGCCACGAGAGGGGGTTCCTGCGACTCCTGCAGCCCCTCTGCCTCCGCCCAGGGGCGCCCCTGGAGCCGCCGCGCACACCGCCCCTACGGGCCCTGCACCTCATCGGGCGCAGAGCCGGGCTGGGGACCGGGCAGCGGAGTTCCGCAGGAAGAAGGCAGGCGCCCGGCTCTCTCTCCCGGGCGTAGTGCAGCCCTGCGCCTGCCGGTGCCAGGATTCCCGGCGCCTCTCCAAGTCGCGAGGACCCCGCCAGACAGTGGGACTCCAGCCTGCGCTGGGGACTCGGCGGCTAAGGTGCCTGGCGTTCGACACTGGATACCCATCAGAGACGGTCCCGCCGGCATCCACAGGACCGAGGTGGTGCTGCGCTGCGGACCCCATCCCCGGGCAGGAGGATCAGCCTCGGCGCCTCCACCCCTGGATCCCCGGCCCCTGCCGCCTGGCTCCCCACGCCTACAGCCCTTGCCGGAGCTGGGCTCGCCAACTCCGGAGGCGCGTGGCTCTCGGGCGATGGAGGGCGCGCCGGCTCCGCCAGCGGGCAGCCTGCCCCGGAGCGGGCGAGCCGAGCTCCGGGCAGTGGCCGCGGTTTGGGGCGGCCGAGGGAAGCTCGGCGGGTTCCGGTGCGGGCAGGGATCCCTGGTTCCCACCCGCCGCACTCCCAGCCCGCTCCGCACCGCCGCTCCCCGCTGCTCCGCGGATCCTCGTTCCGCYGACCGCAGGCGGCTGAGCGGAGCGCGGGTGCCGGGCAGGCAGAGGTGTGCRCGGCGCGGACGCCCGGCGCTGGCCGGGGAGCCCGGGAGAGCCCGCCGGACCGGKGCGCGCCCCGCCGGCTCCGGGGCCGGGCCCGCGCTGCCCCTGCTCGCGAGCCGCCGGGCGGGGGACGGCAACTTACCCGGAGCGCGCCGGAGAGCGAGAGCAGCACCAGGAGCACGCCGGAGCCCGCGGTCATCTTCCCCGCCGCGCCGCCCCGGCGCCCGCACGGTGCCCGGCGCCCAGAGCCCGCTCCCCGCCGCCGCCCGCTGGCCGCCTCCGCCCGCGCCGGCCCGAGCTCCGGCCCCGCTGCGCCCGCCGCGCTCGCCGCCCCGGCTCCGGGAGCCAGGCCAAGACCGGCCGGCGGCGCGCTCCCTCGGGCCGCTGCGTCCGCCGGCCTCGCAGCCGCCCGCGCCTCTGTTCCGCGCGCAGAACTGCAGGTGAAGCCGCGCGGCCGCCCCGCGAGGCCCCGCCCCGCCGCCCCGCGCTGCTCGGCCTGACGCGGGCCTTAAAGGCGCCGCGCCCGCCGCCGGGCCGCTTCGCTGCGCCGCCGCCCCGACCCCGCAGGTCGCCTGGAGCGGGTTCTGAGCAAGAGGCCCAGGACTCTCGGCATCCGGGAGCCACGGGATCAGGGGAGCGAAGACCAAAGAGAGCGCGGGGTCTCCGAACCTGAGGCCCTTCTGGATGGGTGGCCCCGCGGTCTGAGTCCAACTTCCTTCTCCATCCCGCGATGGGAGTGGGCACTGCCATTCTGTCCTTTATTGTTCAGATGTCTGCTTCCTAACTCCCCGGGCAGCTCCGGAGAGATGACCAATACCTTGAGACCCCAGCAGATGAGAAGGGGAGAGGTCCGAGTCTGTGCTCAGATAGCAGGGCTCTGCCCACCCTCCAGCTCACAGAACCTCTCTGAGGGCCTGGCTCCTTAGGTACCCTAAGGATTGGGCATGGGTCTAATTCCTGTTTGTGCATCAAAAACAGTTAAGTCCAAGAAGCCAAGAAACAGGCTTCAGGAAAGGAAATTCCTGGGCAGTAGAGCTGTTGAAGCTTCCGCACAGACCTGAGGCAAGGATGCTCCCATGTGCTCTGCCTGGCTGATTTCCAACCGGGGGACATCAAGGGATCATCAAGTGTAAAATATGTGCAACCTGGAAAATGCGTGAAGGGTTCTGCACCTCTCCTTTGGGCTTGGAGATTTGAAGGAAAGTGGTTTTGTTTGTGATAGTTCAGCTTTCCTTTGTCTTGACTTGGAGGAGCTCTGGGTCCAGAATACAGCAGTCTGGTTTAAAAAATACATTGCAAAGGAGGGGGAAGAAGCTTGAGTGACATGCTGRGTCTCGAGGTCAGAGTCAACTTGGGCAAGAGAGCAGGGACAACACCAGAAAGCCCCTTCCTTCCCTCCCTCAAGTACCCTCGCCCTGTGGGCAGGTGGTCCTCGGGCTAGGGTTGTGTTACTCTGAAGGAAATCTGGTTTTAAGTATCCCAGGGAGGATGGAGTGCATGCTGTATCCAAGTGCACAGGGCTAGCTTTGCTTTCTCAACCAACACTGGGTCTAGTAAAGTGGACACCAAATTTGTATCAACCTGTCACCCCTGCCCTCATCTTGTCCTCTCCCCAGCCTTCTGGGGAAAGTAGGGGTTCCAAGGTGCATGACTGATCCATGTGTTTAGACGCACTCAGGTTCCATGTAGTGGGCTAGGTGTCACTAGGAAGGCCGTCCACACTGGAGGAGCCTCCTGCCCCTCAGCTATGTACCCATGCCTTTGAAAGATGACCTGTGCCCTCTGCTTCTGAGGGTGCTTCTCACTGACCAGTGAGATCAGAGACTGCTGGGGCCCTCCTGTTCTGATGCTGTGTGTAGCCGGGGCCACACCTGTGTCCTTGGGAGACTAAGCCTGGTGTAGACTGTTTCTTGGGAGGGCCTTCGCATACCCCAGCGTGGGCTCTGAAGTGCTCTGGGAGGCTCCTCAGGGCTGCCAACATGCTAACTTGGGTGGAGGGGATGGTTGGGGGCCCAGGTGGGTCCTGAGATCCAAAGCTGCCCCCTACCATGAGCACCTGAGAGCCTGGATCTATAAAGAGGCCAGTGCTGCACCTTTGTGGATGCTGACTCCCAGACTCCTCCCTCCCTGAGGGGTGTGGGGCAGTGGGCCCAGCCCGAATTCGAACCTTGACCCTGGGGCCCTCACATGGGCAGCACCCCCCAGACATCTGTCCCAGGGAACCTGCGCAGGCTGTGTGTAAAGGCTTAAGGGAACGCGCTTTTTCAGAGTGGATTTGGAAGCGTTGCAGTAACCCACTGGAGTCCAGTAGGGAGCATTGCTTTGTCAGACTTGCTCTGAAGGCAGGCAGCGCAGGGAAACCTCACCACAATGGGGAAAGGCCGCTCAGCCCACTGCGGGCTCCAGCCACCACCTCGGTCTTTCCCTCTTAAGCAGTCCCTGGGCCAGCCACTGCCCTCCCAGCATGGGGAGGCCACAGAGGCCTGGAATCTCAGGAGGAGCTGGAATCTCACACCTGCATAAAGGGCCCTAGAGGGAAGTGTGCTTTTGTTTCTAAGAGAGATTAAGAAACTGCAGTTGGTGGGTAGCATGCCAGGGACTCTTTGCTTTCAACACCTGTAAACCTAGCCGGTAATTGGACTAGAGATGTTCCCAGGCTGGATTCAGGCTTGACAGACTCCTCTGGGCCTCCCAGTGCCGAGGTGTCTGGGAAGGGGCTCCCTGGTGTTAATTTGTTTTCCCTCCTATTTATCATTATTTTTTTAGATACCTCAATGTCCGGCAAAAAGCTGTTTTGTAAAGAAAGCAGAGAATGTTAGCCAAGCTGGGCACAGGGCGAAAACAAGGACTCTGAGGCAATTGAAGATATTTGGCGTCCTGTGGGGTGAAATGGCCCCAGCTCAGGAAAGCCTCCTGCAGGGAACCCAGAGCAACCTAAGGGGAAA